AGAGATGCACATCACCTAATATGCTTAATTGGTAGTAGGCTTTCGAGCGTATACAGCTTGGAGTAAGACAACATGCATAAAGAGGATGATGTGGTCAAAATACTCATTTGTATCAGGTAGCAGGTAGCAGGTTGCAATCTTCTGTGACAGCCTAGGCAGCTGCTTTCCCTTTCAATGTGTGTGCTCTCTCAGTGTAATACTTCATGAAAGAAATAATTTGAGTGTAAAAAATATTCTTTTTTTTATTTTTTTGACAATCTCGTTTTTATTAGAATTTTAGGTAATGAATACAGAACAGAACATAGTACAAGAAGTAAATCCCCGGCACTCAATTACTTGATGGTGACATCTTGCGGTTGCCTCGGTGCCCGAGTGCTGCGTCCCCTTTCCCCCTCTGCTAGGACTCCCCCTCCTGCTCGCCATCTCGTCACCTTCCACCCCACCCCCCCCTTACCACCTCAACCGGCTTCTGTACAGCGATATATAATACCAGGGCCAGTATACGAGTGTTAGTTTGTTGCCCATCCCGCCCCCTGCTCATTTCGCTATGGCTAGTGTTTCTAAGGCTCTTCGCCTCAAGCATCCCTGCTCTATGCGTCAGGGCCAGTGCCGCAAGCCCTTCCTGATAGCAGGTTAGTGTGGGCGTTGCGTCTGGTGCCCCCATGACCACTGCCGGTGAGTTTTCTGGAGTGGTCTCCTGTCACCTCTTGGCGGGCGCCCCCCCGAGGCTGTCCCCCTCTCCAGTCCCCCCAGTGTATTCGTGAGTCCTAAGACTGAGTTATATCCATTACACCTCGTTGTCCCCTACTCCCCCCCCTTGCCTATGTTATCCCACCCTTCCACAGTATCGTCCCCCCCTGTCCCTAGTCCCTAGAGCTCTAGAACCACCCCAGCCCTCCCTCCTCCCCTCACTCCCCCCCACCCCATCTGTGCCTCCACACTCCGTCCTGTGTCGGGAGTGTTAACTATTCGCCCATCCCTGGTTAACGTTGCTCTTGTGCTAGGCTTGCGCCCAGTGCGTCCCTGTCTCAATCCCCCCGCTCCCCCCACTCGTAGCAAGTCCCCCCCCGGTCACCCCTCCGTCGGTACTACTGTCATTTAGCACTCGTCACGCAGTGTGGGCTGGGTGGGTTCGGAACATGTGGAGGCCTTCGCCGGTCCCCTCAGGGCATCTCCCCCCCCGTGGGTCGGCAGGGTCAGCGGCACCATGGCACCTCCATCTCCCCCCCCCCGAGCGCCCCCCCGCCTTGCCCTCTTGGTCATGTAATCCACCCACGGGAACCAAGTCGTTGCACATTTGTCCGCGCGTCCCTGCAGGGAGCCCGTCATCATCTCGAGGTTATATATATCTTCCACCCTATCCACCCATTGCTGGAAGGTGGGGACTGTGCTACTTTTCCAGTGAATTGGGATTAGGGTTTTCGCTGCCGTTAGCAGATGTATGGTCAGACCCTTTTTATAGCTCCGCAGCGGCATTTGCGTGTGATTAAGCAACATCTGCAGCGGCTGCAGGGGGAGGTCTGCATCCGCGATATCCCTAATTGCTTCATGTATCTGCTTCCAGTATGGTGCTATTAGCGAACACGACCACCAGATATGAAGTCTCGTGCCCTGTTCCAAGCCACACCTCCAGCACTCCCTGGGGATTGACTCGTGAACATGACGTAATATATCTGGGGTTCTGTGCCAGCCCGTTAAGATTTTGTAGTTACATTCCTGGTATTTGGAGCAGATGCTCCCTTTGTGTGTCAGCATAAAGATTTTGTCCCACTCGCTGTCCGTGAGACTCGTTCCCGTCTCTTGCTCCCAGCGCTTAGTGAATCCCAAGGGGGTCCCGCCTCCCTGCAGCTGGAGCATGGCATATAACGTAGACACTCTGTACGTGAGGTGTTGCCTGTCCACACATGCCTGCTCCAGCGGTAGCAGTGTTCTATGGATGTTGCCTTTCCCCGGTAGGGAGAGGTAATACCTGTGCAATTGATGGTAGCGGAATTCATCCAATCCGGTCGGGGTGTGTTCTGGGATCAGATCCTGTAGTGGTTTGAGGGTTACCTCATTACACCATTGCCGCAGATAGGTCCATTCCGTCGCTGCGTAGCTCTTGAGGTCTGCCATCTTAAGTCCTCCCGCAAGCCGCGGGTTGTTAGTTATAGGAATCAGCGGGTTTGGCATCGTGGTCAATTGCTTCGCGTATCTGGTCCCACACCACACACGCAGTGTGGAGTCTATCATCGGATTACCCGTGTGAATGTCACCCAGAACAGTGCCGTCCAACCACAGCAGGGAGGGAATCCTTCCTTGCGCTTGTTGCCGCTCCATGTCAACCCACTGCTTGGCGGTCGGGAACACATGCCAATCCACCAGGCGGCATAGATGAGTCGCCTGGTAGTAGGTGATCACCGATGGGAGACCCGTGCCCCCCGCATGTTTCGGTCGCTCCAGGACTGACCTGCCAATACGAGCCGCTCCCCGATTCCAAACAAATTTCCGTATGGCAGTTGTTAAGGACTGGAAGAACGACCGCGGGATATATGTCGGCAGCGTCTGGAACAGGTAAAGGATTCTTGGCATTGCATTCATCTTAATGGCGTTGATCCGCCCGAACCAAGAGATGTACTGGGAAGTCCATTTTTTCATGTCCCCCTGTAGAATCGTGAGAAGAGGCGTAAAGTTGAATGAGTATACGTCTTTTAAGTCATTTGGCAGCCATATTCCCAGATATTTGAGCTTCGACTGGCTGACCCGGAATGGGAAGTGCTCGCGAAGGTGCCTCAGCATGGCGTCTCCTGAGGTCAGCGGCATGGCCTCCAATTTGTCTAGGTTGAGCGAAAGGTTCGAGACCGCAGCATACTCTCTGAACGCTTTCAACAGGTTAGGTATTGAGATCCGAGGCTGCTCCAGGAAAAATAGCATGTCGTCCGCGTAGGCCGCCACTCTATGTTCGCTCCGACCCACGCAGAGCCCCGTGATACCCCCGTCCCGTCTGACAACCTCAAGAAATGGCTCTAGAATGAGGGCTAAAAGAAGGGGGGACAGTGGGCATCCTTGCCTTGTACCGTTGCAGATCGTGACTGGTTCAGAGAGTGCGCCATTGACCCTGATTCGCGCCGACGGTCTCGCGTATAGGGCCTCCACCCAAGTGCGGAGGTGCTGCCCAAATCCCATATGCCTTAGTGACTCCAAGAGGAACGTCTAGTCCACGCGGTCGAACGCCTTCTCAGCGTCTGTAGATAAGAGCACCAGCTCCCGCCTGTTGGCCTTCGCCAAGTGTATGACGTTTAGGGCTTGGATCGTGTTATCCCGGGCTTCCCTCCCCGGAATAAATCCGACCTGGTCGGAGTGTATGAGGTCAGGCGCCACCCGAGCCACTCGCAGCACCAGAGCCTTGGCGAAGACCTTCAGGTCCGTGTTTAATAGCGAGATAGGCCTGTAGCTCGCGCAGCTCGTTGGATCCTTGCCCTCTTTTGGGATGAGCGCTACCGTTGCCCTTAGTGTGTCTGCCTGGAATCGGCCTCCCGTGCGCAACGAATTGCACCCCTCCAGGAGTCTCGGCAATAGGACCTCCCTGAACTTGCGGAGGTATCTCACCGGCAGGCCATCCGGGCCCGGGGCCCTGTTGGGCTGGGCTGCTTTCAGCGCTCCCGCAAGCTCCTCCAGTGTCATGGGTTGATCAAGCTCAGCTTCCTGCTCCGGGGTTAGCCTGCGGGCAACGTGTCTGCCCAGGTAAGTAGCGACCTGCACCCCATGCTGCCTTCTCTGAGATTCGGATCGGGTGCCAGCTAAATCGTACAAGGCCTCGTAATATTTTTGAAATGCTCGCAGGATGCCATCCGGGAGGTGAGTGACTGTTTGCCCCTGCGTGCGAATCTTGTGTATATGTTGCGCCCTCCTCTTATCCTGGAGCATTTTTTCGAGTAGCCTGCTGCAATTGTTGGAATGCTCGTAAAAGAACCTTGCCGCCTTACGCGCAGTATGTAGCATGCCCTGGGTTAATATGGTACGGAGCTCTCGTTGTGTCTCCGTCAAGAGGCAATAGGTCTCGTCATCTAACGTGCGCTTGTGTGCCTGTTCCAGCTCCGCCACCCGTCCCGCCAGCTGAACCAGACGAGCTGTGCGTTCCTTTTTGCGCTTCGTGCTGATCACTATGAGGCGTCCCCGGATGACACACTTGTGCGCCTCCCAGACCGTCAATGGGGCTATCTCAGGCGAGCTATTAATGGTAAAGTAGTCCGTCAGGGCTTGCGACACCTCTGCCACCAGGAGAGGATCGTCCAACAGGGTCTCATTCAACCGCCATTGCCTTTCTGTGGGTTTGAAGAGGGGGGCACTCGTATGTACTATCATAGGCGCGTGATCTGACTGTTCCATGCTCCCTATCTCAGACCCCTGCAGCACCGCCAAATACTCTTGCACCAGGAATACGTAGTCTATGCGGCTATAGTGAGCGTGGACCGCCGAGTAGTAAGTGTAATCCCTATCCTCGGGATGGTTCGCCCTCCAGCAGTCCACTAGACCCAATTTGTGCAGGGAGCACAGAGTTGCCCGCAGGCAGTGTGTGGGGATCGTGCTGACACCTCTGGACGTATCCCTACAAGGGTCCAACGGAAGGTTGAAGTCACCCGCCACCACCAGCAGCCCCTCTCGAAATCTCCCCAACTTGGCCAGCGTCTGCCCGATGAACGTATGTTGTCGCTTGTTGGGGCAATATAAGCACGCAAAGGTGTATGTGAAATCCGCTATAGTACCCTTGATAAACAGGTATCATCCCTGAGGATCCGCCTGTAGGCCCGTGCAGTGAAACTGTGTCGTACTCGCGAACAATATCGCCACTCCCGCCTTTTTGGCCTCCGGATGGTTGGCATAAAACCCTATTGAATAACGCTTATCTCCCAGCTTCGGGGCGTCCCCTTGACGAAAATGCATCTCCTGCAGGAACACCACGGACGCTCTCGCGGCCCACAGCCGCCGCATAAGCAAGGAGCGCTTCTCCGGGATGTTGAGGCCTCTAATGTTGAGGGACCAGTATGTCAGTCGAGCCGGTGTGAATCCCACGCCGACCCGCTGCGCCCCGGAGGGGGGATCCGCGTCCGCCATAACTCCGGTGCGACCCACAGGGGGGAGACCGCGAGGAAACCGGCAAAGTGGGGAGAAGAAGAAAGAAAAAGGGGAAAAAAAAGGGGGGGGGGCTGGGAAAGTACTTATTGAGGATAAGTACTGTAACCCTGTACCGGATTTTGTCAGTCAGTTGTGGAACGTCCCCTCCATCCCCAAATGCCCCGGTATTATGTACAGTATGGGTCTGTCACAGTGGGGTTCTACCGTGTCTCCATCTATATGGAGCTGTCTCAGTCGTCTATTTCGTGTCTACCCTTTCCTCCCGTGGCTCCCAACCTGCCAGAATAGCTATACTCCCGTGTTTGCCCTGGGGGCAGCCCGCCGTCACGTGGGCAACAGCCCTGTTCTCTAGAGGCCCACGGACCCCCCCCGGCCAGCAAGGGCCAGCCCGGTTGCACTGCCGTCCACCTCCGGGCTACCTACTCCTCCCATCTCGACCCTCCGGAGCTTCTGCAGCCAACCGTGCTCTCCTCCCTACCCCTGATCCCACCTGCTCCCCCGGTGCCTCTACCCTCCCACGACCCCCATATCTGGAACCATCCGCAGGGGGGCGAGCCGGTAATACAGGTGTCTTACCCCCAGCCATCCTCGCGCCGCCCCAGGCCAAGTCCCACCTGCCCCCCCCAGCTGCCGTCCCGTCTGGGCTTTGTCCTTGTAAGTACCCCCCTAACCACAGGAACTCCGGCGCAACTCATCAGGCGCT